CTGATGGTGGACATGACGTGACCATAGATGCGTGAACTAGAATCACGTCTAACCATGGATATGATCTAACTGGAGTATCTCTCATGTGTGACTGTTCCTAGGCAGAGAGCTCGAGACTATAAGACCTATTTAAAGACTAAAGTATTACAATTAAAGAAGTGAGTACTCATAATTGATATTACAATAGTAATATATAATACAAAAGAGTAAATACACAGAAAAATAGCAAATTCATGGCCATGTTCATGTATATAGTTTATTGTGGCATGATAGCAATGTCTTTAATGTAACTGTTGTCTTGTACTTGATAGACATTGTAGGTGTTCTCAGTAAGTTGCATTCCATTGGGATGACTCTGTTGGATCATCAATGTAAAGCACTTTCAGGATCAAATTTTTTGCCTCTCCTTTTCAGTTCCACTCATGACAATGTTGTTTGTGCTCACTTCGTAGGGTCTTGATTTGATTCATTGAAGCACCTTATAACTAGACCACCTAACAAGTGTAATAGAGTTTGTTTCAAAATTATGCAATATTAGTACAATGAATGCATTTTAGGTATATACAATAATTCTGCACTTCCATTGTTTTGGCATCAAATAATTTATTAAGCTGCTCGCTATCAGCAGAAATTGGGATGCTCTCCCCAATAGCAACAGCTGTTTCATGTAAAGGTGAGGCTTCTTATACCATGGTACGTACGCGTATATAAGTTTTGTAGTTTATGCCTTTAAATATTGAAGCTTACTTACATTTTCCTCTCCAATTGACGGGTCAATTATGTCACTACCATCACCAAGTAAGACGTCTTGCACTAGTCCTCTGGACACAGCTCTAGGAGGCTCTGTTGTTGGCCATCGAGTGGACTGTAATGCCATCTTCTAGTGTAGTATAGTACATTATTTCCTGCACTTCTTAACTTATCTATATATGCCAGGTGAGATTTTGCTTTGGCTAGTTCATTAGGGAAGTTATTACACAGTTTTATTCACTGGCTGTTTTAAGGGGGGCTTGGAGGGCACAGGCCCACCCTGTTGGCAAAATTCTAATTAAAGCACTAGTATTTTTAATGTAAATGCCTCCCAGGCCATTCTTGACTGACTCTTCTCTACATTATAGTGCCCTTTCCTGTATATAGTGCCCCCTCTGTTTCATTGACATGGCACCGCCACTGGTTTTATTAATGTATCCCAATTGGCATCTCTATCAGCATCAAACCACCTCTGAAATACCAACGTAAGATTGGCATCTGCTGCTCCTGGTAATGGCATCAGATCAAACACCTTTACATCCGTTCCAATCCCCATTAGCACGTAATGGTGAGCAGAAGTAGCAAGCACTTTCATGACTGCTGCCATATTAAGCTCTTTGCCTATAATAGTAGATAACAATCAGTGAACTATGATTGCATGAACCATAAGATAGGGATAACATTTGTGGGAATAAGCAGGGAATTTTGAAAATTATAATTGGTAATTATAGATCAAAGAAAGTAAATATGATAATTGGGGTAAATGCCTCACGTGTAGAGAACCCCAATCTTAATTATCTCCGTGGCCCCTGCAGTCTTTTAGTGGCGCCATAAAACATGTAGCACTAATTCTGATCAGACAATAATAACTGGCACACACATACAGTTGCTCTCAAAAAGTCTATCAGACAATA